TGGTTGCCTTAATGTTTAAACTTAGCCAAAAGGTTTTGGATACCTGGCAAAACATTACTCTGTGTCAGGATTGATTTATGCAGTCTTTTAAAAGTTTTGCCGACCAATCTCTACTTCCTTTATATGTACATATGTATATTACAGCGTCGTGGTAACCAAAACAACATTATTGAGTTCATCCTAAATAATTAAGTGCCCTTTTGGTGTATTTCTTTGGATTTGATGTAACATTCATACATCTTCCTTTCAAACTACCTAACTGGTATACGTTCCATTGAACTAGAGTATAATGCCTTTAGGAAGGCTTCTTCATCGCCCCTTTTTCCTGCGGGGAATTGCTGGCTGCCATGTTGCCGCCAACTGCGAGTTTGAAAATAAATCCCGTGAAAATGAGTTGTATAACGAGAGAAATAAATAAAACAGTATTACGAATACAAAAATTCCCCAATCTGGTAGACGAGCAAAATTCCACTTTTTACTTAATTTTGGGATTCCGATTTTATTTAAAATCGTTGAAAATTTAAAAATAACTGAATTCTTAGCCGGCTTAGAATAGGTGACCTCCGGTAGGTTGGTGTTCTAGTCTGGTAGACCGTAGGTGTTGGGTTCGATTTCACACTAAATAGCCGGTTTACAGACGATTTTAAGCCGCCGCAAACATTTTAACTGTCAGCTGCCGGCGCCGTTAATATTTGTCAACGAAGGCTTTTGATACAAATTGTTGTGTAAAACTGCATTTATGTTAAGAATTTGTTAATAAACTATTAAAAAAAAGAATTGCCAGAAAAAAATAGCGTGAAAAATATTAAATTACTTTTATTTCAATTGTAAATACAAATGTGTAGACTGTAGTTAAATGAAATTTAAACTAAAAAGAAAATGAGTAGACCTCGTAGTGTCCTTTGTCCGGTCGCTGTTGTTTATATAGGCTTAATCTTAAAATGCAAGCCGATGAGTGAGAAAACTAAACATTTAAGATCCTGTACCAAATAGTAAAAGCAACGCAAGCCCTCGGGATCTTTGGAACGGTTTACATCGACCAGTGAACCGGTCTTAGAGGTGGTAAACGATATGTGCTCATCGCCAATGACAATTTCAAGTTCCTGAAAAAGCGACATATTTGAAAACATAAAATAAAATTGAAAAAACAATTGTGCGTTGAAAATTACCTGTCTTCCTACACGATCTGGTGGTGGCCAAGGTGAATCATCTTCAGCCATTATTTCTGAATCTAAAATAATACGTTTGAGCTCTTCCATCACCGATTGATGAACAAATGCCTCTTTGCGAATCATGGTGTCATTTTTGTAGTTCGAGTTGTTGGCATAGCGCAGTTTGCCATCGGGGCGAAACTCAAACTCGAGAAATTCGTGGCCAAATTTACCTTTATGCCCGACATAATAACGTAAGTAGAAATCTTCTGTAGACATTTTGTGTCTTAATTAATTGCAATTTATATTTATTTGCACCTTTTTTGTTAAGAATTTTACGATTTTACTACTTGTGGTTTTTCGGCACAAAAAAAATATAAAAACGCTTTCACATTAGAAATGTCAAAAAGTGTTTTGTTGTTGTTGCCAGGGTTGTATTCTGCCGGTAGAAAAAGTGGTGCCAAGTTTGTTTTGTAGCGAAAAATAAATATATTTATGTAGAGAGCAGTTTCACAAACTCTTCTTAATATTTTGATGTTGGTGCAACCGCTCAGAATTTTGTAAATGCATTTATAATGGGATAGTTAATATAGTTATCAAATACCTATTAGATTTTTTCGACTTTTTAAGTTAAAAATATAATGCTTCCACGTAGTTTTTTTAATTTTTGCAATAAAAATAGAAACATAATTGAATCGATTTTAGACTGATTTTAGTTTAAAAAGTCGACTTTTTGACCGTTTTTTTTTTTTTTTAATTTTTTCGATTTTTAAACTGTTAAGTGGCGGTTGATTCAAATCTGGTATGAATTTATTAACAACCTTAATATAATAACATAACCTCCACTACTACGCTATATGGTTTCCATGGCAAGTGCTATATAAATTTGTTTATTTTAATAACCCAATAACCTATAAATATGTAGTTGTTTTTGTCGTTAATAACAAAGTAGTTTAATAACAAAAACTTCAGTTGTAATAAAAAAAAAAATACTTTTAAATATGCCAAATCAAAAAAAGAATCAGGTAAATTGCAATTATTTTGCTACATCAGTACGATTAAACAACTTTATTAACTATTTTATAGAATAAACGGACTCGTGCTTATGTAGAAGAAGTTTTTCGTCAAATTGAACAAAAACCAGATGTAACCGATATTATGATACTCAATAATAAGGGTAATCCGGTTAAAACGACTATGGAGAGTTCCTTAGCCATACAGTACGCTGGTCTCTATGAAATATTGCGCGACAAAGTTTGTATGGGTTTACAGAAGATGGATGCACGTAATGAATTAATTATGCTTAGATTAAGAACTACTAAAATGAGACCTTAATAGTTCCGGATGGTAAAATTACTATTGTCGTAACACAAATGCCAAAGATGGTTTTCAAAATGCCTAACCACTCTTTTATTTTGAAAAATTTTAATTATTTGTATTAGCCAAATGTTTTTTTTAACAAGAGATAGATAAAAAAAATAAAATAAAAGTTTTTTTTATATAAAATACATATGAGATTAACAATTCATTGTACCACCACTATAGTAAATTCCTTTTCTGGTGCTACTAAATATTCAAATTTTCTGGTGGCTATGCGTAAAAATTTCAAATCGTTTTGTACTGTCAATATCACGTACTGCACTTCTAGCGGCCGATACCAACATTTTACAAATTAACTTTATAATGCCCACCGATACGGTATTGTCATAGGAAGATATAGCTATGTACCATAGTTATTATTACAGACCACATAACCCAAGGCATTTTTCATTATACGTTCCGTATTTTCAGCATTGCGTCGTATTACCGCTTCTAAAGGCTGTAAAATTGAAAAATTGATGAATTTTAAATTCTTTAGATGGTTTATTGTTATTTGAATATCTTACCATGTTGGAAATATATTTTTTGTTACAATTGAATGACTTAAAAAAATAGCTTTGAAATAATTCAGTTTATTTTTGATAAATTCAAATGGAGAAGGAATCAAAGAATAATGAAGGAATATTTTGATTTTGAAACAGAACTTCAAATGAATGAATTCATATATAAATCTAGAAATCATAAATCAGGATGCACTAAGTAAGGTGAAATCGTCAAGGCAGCTGGTTTTTATTTGTTTATTTAAAAAGTGCTTGGGTTATGTCAAAAATAATTTATTTATTTTTATTCTAACATAAAAATTAAATTTGTGTTTTCTAACGAAAAAATTTCAAACCAAAAATTATGAATGAAAATGCTAATAAAGGGTTCCAAATGAAGAAATTCAGATGAACCAGCAATAAGACGTTGTCCTGCTGCGAATACAATTTAAATGTAACGACGGTTTTATAGGTAATATTGTGAAATACGCAAAAAATTTTCTTTCCAATATTTATTATTTTATTTTTCAATTTCATTTTGACAAAACCCATACTGAAAACAACAAAAAAATATTGTGTTTGTTGTGGTTGTTGCCCAAACGCTCTCACCTTACTTATTACATCATGTCATAAATCTTCAATATAAATTTAACCCTTTCAGGGTCAAAAATAATTTATGTCTAGAAAAAAACTTGAAAACTTGTATTAAAGATAATTTGAGTATGCTGAATCCGGGAAAAATAATATTTTTGAATTTGAGTTTTCCCTAATGAGTTATAGAAGGTCAAAGTTAAATGTCGAATATATTCGACATTCGAAAAACAGTCTCCAAAAAGTACCACAAATATTTTTTATGATTTTTTTTTTTTTTGTAAAATGTCTTCTTAAACTTCTTTCAATACAATACAATTAAAATCTGCATAGTCCGTTCTCCTAAAATACAAATTTTTTGGCCATTAAATGAAGCTTTTTTTTAAACGTTGTTAAAAAGCACTTTTTAAAAAGTAGTCATAAGTGATAATTTCTTAAAATCTCATTTTTAAATACTTTTCAAATACGGAAGATCTTTCAAAATCTCAATTATAAATATAATAAAGTCTTCATTTTCATCTAAAAGAAAAAAATTAAAACTAAAGTTAAATATTATACCCAAAAAATGCTTAAAAACAGAGTCTATTGTAATGTCGAATATATTTTTTTTGTAAAATACAATACAATTTAAATCTGCATAGTCCGTTCTCCTAAAATACAAATTTTTTGGCCATTAAATGAAGCTGTTTTTTAAACGTTGTTAAAAAGCACTTTTTAAAAAGTAGTCATAAGTGATAATTTCTTAAAATCTCATTTTTAAATACTTTTCAAATACGGAAGATCTTTCAAAATCTCAATTATAAATATAATAAAATCTTAATTTTCATCTAAAAGAAAAAAATTAAAACTAAAGTTAAATATTATACAAAAAAAATGCTTAAAACAGAGTCTATTGTAATGTCGAATATATTCGACAAAACCACGGAAAGGGTTAATAAATTTTTTTTTTGGGAAATGTGTCAAATACAACACTTTACAGCTCTTCGACGAGTATGAAAATGATCGCAATTCGTTATCGGTCATCTTAAGATTATAATGCTGCGTATGACACGATAATTTAAAAATCGTTATGTCATTAACGAATTCTAATGCCAGATACAGCTCAGAAAAGTATACATTGGACTGTGTATTTTTAAATTTCTTGTTTTTATTAAAATAAATAATAAAATTCCCTTAATATGCTGTAATGTAAATAATACACACCTGGCAATGCCGTAAAACAGTTAAACTTTCAAAAAAGAGCTTTTTTTCTTGTTTAATCTCTTTTCTTCCTATTTCTAAAAATGACAGCTTAAAACGTAATGCAAAAAATGCCAAGAAAGTAATGACATTTCTCGCGCGCTTGTACACATTACAACAACAAACAATTTGCTACAACAAAGTAAAAAGTCAAAACAAGAAATAAAATCACAAAAAAACTATATAAGAACGTAGAAAAAGTGTTGGAAGTATTGCTCTGGTTCAACAATAAAATACAGTGTATTTATTATTTAGTTACAAATTAAACAAAAAAATAAATCATTCTAATGTAAAAATGTGTGCAGATTATTTATAAGAAAAATAGTGAGTACATTTTACATAAATTTTAATTAGAAAATGTGCAATTTGTGATACTTTTGCAACATTGTAATTTTTCTTACTTTGTGTGTGCAATCAAGTAAATGGAAATGTGTGTTTGTGTATCATGTAAAATTGATAAAGTCAGCAAATAAAATGTATACACATTGTAATCTAAGCAGAAATGTTTTGCAATTTTAGAAGATAAAAAAAATGGAAATCAAGCAAGTTTTGTAATAAAGTTAATTTCTTTAAAGTTTTGTAATAAAATATTGACACAATTTTTAAGGTTTTTGCAATTTGAGGAGGGGTTCAGTGATGGAAAAAGCCCCAAAAAATGTCAACTCATTTGCAAATATTAAAATATTTTTTCTGTTCTTTGCTTTGTATGTAATTCCTATAGATTTAGCAAAAAGTAGCAACGTAGGAATTTTCTTTACTTTGTGCAGGTTTTTTTTTTTACTTTATTTTTTCGTTTTTGTTGTTATCGTTTTAGTTTCAGTGGAGTTGTTTTTCCCCAAGTCCTTAGAAAGTACATACAAAAGAGTATTACAACGTGAGAGCATACTAGGAGGTTTATTATAATGTGATTTGTACAGAGAAGAGCAGGAAATCTCGGTCAAAGTAATTTTACAAAACAACTGTTCGGCAACTATGTAGCTTTGCGTTGTTGTTGCTATTATTGTCACAACATTGTTGTACTAAGTGGGTTTATTCCCTGCCGGTAACAACAACTACGTCACACCAACATCACACGTAAATTCCATAAAATATTTTATCACTGACATGCGCACTTTTATTCTCTTACTCTCTGTGGTCGAGGAATATGATGAAAATATTAGCTTTATAAACTATTATTAACTCAATGTAAGAGTATTGTTAATAGTTTGTTTATATGCTTGAGAAGTGATAGAGAGAGAGAGTGGGTGCATGGTTTTCTGTGATATTTTGTTGTTAATGTTTTTGCAACAATGTTAATTTGACATGTTTACAGCGTGTCTGCAAATAACAAATGTACAAGTGAAAGTTGAAGTAAAATGTAATGTAACAACAACCAACTGCAGTAGGAATCAGAGAAAGAGTTACCAATATTAATTTTTCCTAATAAATTACTGGGTTGTTGGGAATAATTTATGTTTATGATTTAAGAATGAGATTGGTGTGTTATATATAAAAATAATGCTCAACTAATGGCACTTGTTGCATATAAATGTTTAACAATATTTAAGAATATACTGTTAGAAGGCCTTAAAAGTTTATATAGACCATATTATTTTTATGGAGTAGACTATATTAAAGACCAGATAGTAGACTATATTATAGAATAGGTTAAAGTCGCGACTACAGACTAGGCTATATTGAAGACAATAGATTAGGCTATAGTCCAGACGACAGACTAGACTATAGTCTAGACTATAGCCCAGACTATAGACTAGACTATAATCTAGACCATAGAGTAGACTATTGTCCAGTCTATAGACTAGACTAGACTATAGTCCATACTGTAGAATAGGCTATAGTCCATACTGTAGAATAGACTATAGTCCATACTATAGACTAGACTATTTTGCAGACTTTAGACAGACTATAGACTAGACTATAGTCAAGACTATAGTCCAGACTATAGTCCAGACTATAGTCCAGACTATAGACAGACTATAAACTAGACTATAGTCCAGACTTGGACTAGACTATAGACTTTACTATAGTCCAGACTATAGACTAGGCAGACTATAGTCCAGACTATAGACTAGACTAATCTATAGACAAGACTAGACTAGACTATAGTCTATAGTCTATAGACTAGACTGTAGTCCAGAATATAGACTATACTAAAGTCCACACTCTTCCAGACTATAGACTAGACTATAGTCCAGTCTATAGACTAGACTATAGTCCAGTCTATAGACTAGACTATAATCCAGACTATAGAAAAGACTATAGTTCAGACAATAGACCATAGTCCAGACAATAGTTTAGACTATAGACTCGACTATAATCCATACTATAGACATGAGGGTAGTCCATTATATAGACAAGACTATATTCTAGACTAAACTATATTCTAGACCTATACTATAGACTAGAGTATAGTTCAGTCTATAGACTAGACTATAGTCCAGACTATCGACTTGACTATATGCTAGATTATAATCCAGTCTGGACTATAGTCTAGTCTATAGACTGAACTATACTCTAGTCTATAGTATAGGTCTAGAATATAGTTTAGTCTAGAATATAGTCTTGTCTATATAATGGACTACCCTCATGTCTATAGTATGGATTATAGTCGAGTCTATAGTCTAAACTATTGTCTGGACTATGGTCTATTGTCTGAACTATAGTCTTTTCTATAGTCTGGATTATAGTCTAGTCTATAGACTGGACTATAGTCTAGTCTATAGTCTGGAAGAGTGTGGACTTTAGTATAGTCTATATTCTGGACTACAGTCTAGTCTATAGACTATAGACTATAGTCTAGTCTAGTCTTGTCTATAGATTAGTCTAGTCTATAGTCTGGACTATAGTCTGCCTAGTCTATAGTCTGGACTATAGTAAATTCTATAGTCTAGTCCAAGTCTGGACTATAGTCTAGTTTATAGTCTGTCTATAGTCTGGACTATAGTCTGGACTATAGTCTGGACTATAGTCTGGACTATATTCTGGACTATAGTCTAGTCTATAGTCTGTCTATAGTCTGAACTATAGTCTGGACTATAGTCTAGTCTATAGTCTGTCTATAGTCTGCAAAATAGTCTAGTCTATAGTATGGACTATAGTCTATTCTACAGTATGGACTATAGTCTATTCTACAGTATGGACTATAGTCTAGTCTAGTCTATAGACTGGACAATAGTCTACTCTATGGTCTGAATTATCGACTTGACTATATGCTAGACTATAGCCTAGGATGTAGTCCAGGCTATAGACTAGACTATAGTCCAGACTAAGACTAGACAATAGTCCAGACTAAGACTGGACTATAAACTACACTGATTCAGACTATAGACTAAAATATAGTCCAGTCTATAGACTACCATATAGTCCAGACTATAGACTAGACTATAGTCTGGACAATGGTTCAGACTATGGATTGGACTATATTCTAGACAATAGTTCAGACTATAGACTAGACTATAATCCAGAATATAGACTGGACTATAGTCCAGACTTTACCAACGACTATAGTCCAGACAAGACTAGACATGACTATAGTACAGACTATAGACAAGGCTATAGTCTAGACAATGCACTAGACTATAGTACTTACAAAATATTAGACTATAGTCTAGAATGTAGACCAGACTATAGTCCAGACTTTAGACTAGACAGTAGTGCTGACTATGGTCCAGATTTTAGATAGGACTACACTCTAATTATAAGGCAGACTCGAGACTAGACTATCGTGTAGAAAATATTGCGAACTATAGTCAAAATTACAGACTTGTCTAGGTCTATATAAAATATCTAATGCAAGCACAGCAATGCAGTTTTCTGTTATCCTCCCAAATGTGTTATTTTGGCATACAGTAACTCTAACTGACTTCCGTCTCACTTACTCAAACTTTGTTGTAAATTCCTAAATACCATTAAACAAGAGAAATTGCCGCACAGTAATAAAAAACGACAAAAAAAGAAAAACAAACAGGAAGAAACAAAATGCTGAGAATTGCAACAATGTTGCTCAATGTTAAATATTTTTCACTCTCTCTTTTCCTTTTTTTTTTTTTTGCTGCATTTTTGTTTTGTTTTTATTGCAACGTTGCAGTTTTATGTACAACATTCCTGCCATATGTATGGGATTATCATGTCATTTGCCTCAACTACACATACTACACTCAACGAGTAGTCGGATCTAACATGTGGTTGATGTAACCAAAACAGTAAAATCGATGACATTGAGCGCAACAATGTTGCATATCCACCATAATAATACTGGCTGCACTCCTTTTTGCACTCTTTTTGCTTTTTTATCTTCCTTTTTGTTAGTTCGTTTATGTGTCGTGTATGTCCTGGCTTGGTAAATGTCGAGGTTAACGACCACAACACAACTTTTATTTTACAATTTTTTTTTTCATTTTTTTATTTTTGAGGATACAATGTATATACAATTTATATAGTTTTGTTTAAATTTGTTGTTGTAAATATTACAACTCTCAATTGTGAATGCAAGCAAAAAAAAAAAACAAATGAAACTTTACATGATTTGTTTGACGAGCATGTATAACCTTTATTCTCCTTGGAGGGCTACTCCCTTTTCTTTTTTCTTTATTTGTTTGTAATACTTTGTATTTTTCAATATTTTTCTGCTGATACTCAACACTCAACTCCTTGAAGTCCTTTAGCTGCATGCTTCAGCAGTAAATTCTTGCATTTTGTAGAGTTAGTCAGTCAGTCATCATCATACATTAGGAAATCAAAACTGTACAGTAATTTCTATATTTTGTTCCTTTTATTTTTCATTTTCATTTCTCGGTTTTATTTTGCTGGCTTTCTTTTGTTTTGTTTGTTTTCATTTTGGTGGTTCTGATGGAAGAAAGAAGCAGGAGGCCTCTTTTTTTCTTTCTTTCTTTTCTTTTAGTAATATTACATAGATTTTCCCGGTTGATGGTATACAGATATAACAATACCATTTCCATTTTAATCCTTTGCCCTTCCTTACATACCTAGATGTACATATGCGTCTTTATATGCTGTTATGTGTGTATGACTATGGACACATACCCCAACCAACCAAACAGCCAACCATCCATCCATCTATCCAGTCATTTGTATGTAGTGTATGTTGTTGTCGCTGCTGTATTTGTTGTTGTTGTTGTTGCTGTTGTCATTATTACATTTATACAACATTTACTAACTGCAATGTCTACTAGTGCTTTGAAAGTACCAAGCAGCCAGTAAGTGTTTGCGTATATTTTTTAAATGCAAAATTCAGTTGGAGTTTGTTTCCCTATTTACTTTGTTGCATTTCATAATATTCCTCAAAAGTGTTGAAAATTCAGTGG